GGATGCCACCTGCCGTACCGGCAGCGGGAGCTATGTGATTACCGCCATTGACGTTAGTAAGTACAATCTTTCCATACTATCGTCGAGCACTTCAAGATGCTGATACTTCTTTCTTCTAGACTCTTGCGTTAGAAACTTGAACAGTGTCCTGTTTTGCTAATTCATCATTGGGTTTCGTCTAAAAATACGAGGAATAGTTATGAAGCTTCACTCCTGTTTTGAAGATCATGTACCACGGTCTCTAATAAACGATTGCGATTTACGCAGTTGTCATAAACATTTGTAGTACTACTCGAAGCAGGCTAGTTGTCAATAAAAATGTGTACCAAGGAGTTCCATGCGATCCCTCCTACTATCATCGAAAATTATCGACTGAACCACGTCACAGAGAAATTGCGGATTGAAACCACTGCGACGATTTCCTTCAGTATCCCTATGGCACGAAGAAACCCTTATTAAAGGAAATAGTTCGTTCTTTTCTATTACTAGAATGACGACTATTTATCGCATACTTTCTCATTAGCCCAATAATGCGAATATGGTGAACGATCAATATGGGGTTTGGAGGGCATTGACATCTGAGGAATACGCCGCGGAGTTGTTGTAGCCGGAGAGTGCAAGTGCAAGGCTACTGGAGCGATAGTACTGGATGACTTGCTCCGGTTTAGGACCATCAGCGTTGGCAGCATCGAACGACGACGACATTGTGAGGGGGGGATCGCCTGCTATGCAGTTATAGTGAATGGCCCGAAGTAGTATGCGGAGGGTGTCAAGGTCGGCAAAGAGGAAATATGCGTCAGAGATTACAACTAGTTGAAGGACTGAGACAAACCTCTTTGGGACTGTAATTATATGCGGAATTATTGCCTTCCGTGCCTCCAAATGTGAGTGGCCACAAACCGAAAGGAAATTTTAAATCGACTTTCGTAGGATATCCGCTTCCATATCGGCTGTACAGATAATAATAATTTAGTTAACCTGGATAAGAGAAAACTTTACAAGGAAGAATAATACCTTGTACCATAGATATCCAACTGCCTCCACCGATCTTCTCACCTGCGAAAAGGCCGGCGGGAAGAGTGATTGGTCTCATGTGCTCTCCATAGCGCGAAGCAAAGCGATTTAACCCAGGCCAGAGTGGAATATAAATAGGCGTGGAATTATAATGTAAAGCTTGAAAAAAATAGTAAGCATAATTTCACCATATCTGTTAGCTGAAAGCGTGTATACCTTTACTGTTATTGAATCTATTAATCGAGGCCGAGCGAGTTCTTCCCTCACCAGCCGTAAACCCGTCAGCGTGAACATTGGCAGAAGCAGCGTGGTCTACACCATCTATATCCTATTAGTACTTGACAAATAACGAAGTTCTCGACGTATCACTGACTCCTGGTGCCGAATCAAGCGTTATTGATGTATCGTTGCGTTCAATAATAAACTCGGAGCCATGGGGAGGAATGTTAATGTGGACTGTAGCGATGTGGAGAGTGTGTAGAGAGAGGGTGAAAGAAAAAGGTGCGTTTTATGTGATTGTAGAAGGTGGTATTAAATGAGACACCGTGGGAGTGGGTGGGCAAAGGTATTTATCCGGACCCACACACCGATAACACTGGAGACATCATAAAATTTCCTGAGTCTAAAAGTCCCAGGAAATCTTATGCCTTTGGCAAATAGTATTAGCATTTCTTGGGACAAAAATTGAGAGGAAATGTTGATTAATTTGAAGATTTCCTGAAGCATAAAAAATTGAATTGTGTTAGCATTTCCTGAAATTGGAAAACTTGCATGCATTCAGAGTTTTCACAAGATTTCCTGAGGTCAGAAATGTTGGTAAAATTAAATGTATTTACTTAGCTTTCTAAATACACAAATGTACAGAAATAATGGGTTTGTTCAAGATTCCCAGACTGAGATTATCATGGGGAAACATCAAATCACTTTAGAATTTCTTGAATATATAAACAGCACAGAAATTTTGGATTTGTCCATGATTTCCTGGTCAACATTACCCTAAGGAAATGCTGAATTACATTAGAATTTCCTGAGCACACAAACATTGGAGAAACTCTGAATTTAGTTAAGATTTCCTGGCACACAAACACTGAGGAAATGTTGAATAATATCAAGATTTCCTGAGCAAGATTACTGTCAGAATATCATCAGTTTCTCAAAATTTCCCCATTCTTAAATTTCCATATCCAGGAAATTTTGGGGAAATGATGATTTTGTGACAGTTATCTTGCTCAGGAAATCTTGATGGTATTCAATATTTCTTCAGTGTTTGTTCATCAGGAAATCTTAGCTAAATCTGGAGTTTTTCCAATGTTTGTGTGCTCAGGAAACTCTAACGTAATTCAGTATTTCCTCAGGGGTAATGTCAGCCAGGAAATCTTGAACAAATTCAAAATTTCTGTGCTGTTTATATTTCAGGAAATTCTAAAATGATTTGATGGTTCCCCATGATAATCTCAGCCAGGAAATCTTGAAAAAACCCATTATTTTCTGTACATTTGTGTTTTTAGAAAGCTAGGTAAATGCATATAATTTTACCAACATTTCTGGCCTCAGGAAATCTTGTGAAAACTCTGAATGCATGCACATTTTCCAATTTCAGGAAATGTTAACACAATTCAATTTTTCATACTTCAGGAAATCTTCAAATTAATCGACATTTCATGTCAATTTTTGCCCCAAAAAATGCTAACACTATTTGCCAGAGGCATAAGATTTCCTGGGACTTTTAGACTCAGGAAATTTTATGCTGTCTCCAGTGTAAGGGGGCTTAAGCACGTATCGACCTTGCCTTAATCATAATGGTCACCAGCTGTAACGCATAATTAATACTCTAATGACAGAAAATAAGACGTTCGTTTTGTTAGAAAGGAAGAAGCCCTTTTTTATTTTATTTTATTTATTTTTTAGATCCATTTTTGTCTATTAGGGCTACGCCCCATGCAAGACATTACAATACATGTAATTCAATCCTTTGTGTAAAAGAAGTCCTTTAACATCTTTAATTAAAGCCTTTCATCCGAATAGTAAATACAGCATGCCAGTAGTAAAGCTCCATCTCCAAATATCCTATTTTGAAAGTACCACCATGTAACTATGTTGAATGAATCATCCGAATGAATCGTGAATGTATACGTATCACGAAATGAAAATCAGAATGAAAACTTCTCATTAGTCACTCCACCTCAAGACTCCGTGTTTACTTGATTAGTCCATACAAGTTGAATACCTTCCTTTTCACACAATTTTCGGACCTCCGCCTCCTCGACTCCCGTAACATTATACAACTCCAAAGTGCGTAACCTGCGGACATACGACGGCGGCCCAGGCCTGAAAATGCGCCCCACATCCTGATCCACGTTGTCCATCCTCGAGTCCGTAATCCGCAGCGTCTCCAAATAATGCAACGCAAGGTCCAGCCATATCGCTTCTTTACTTTGTTGGTCAAGAATGTGTAATTCGCGGAATGAAATGTGTCGTATATTGTCATATGTATTATGCTGGGTACGGATGCGATGGTTGTATCGCTCCTGAGGACCTTCGGGCGCGCGGAGAAAATGGAGCTCTTCGAGGTAAGGGAAGAGCTCCAGGACGCCGTGTCGGCCTTTGACATTGAACTTATAATATCGGTCGAGGTAGATCCAAATGCTCGCGTCTCCATCTCTGGACTGCCCAAAGAGGATTTCGGCCCTTTGATCTGGACGAGAGAGCCGCTCTGGATCGTGGGTTGATTCAGCACCGTTCGGCGGGAGGGTTTCGTGGAATTCGCTTGTGAGAGTTGCTATGTCCACCAACAATGGGATCAAATTTCTGCATTCGGAGAAAATGTTATAGATTGTGACGCCTCCTACGAAATTCGCGATCCATGTTGGTCGGATAGCGAGATGTTTTAAATTGGGCATTGATACGGAGTCCAGAAACTGGGAGATGTTGGTTATTGAGCAATAAATAAGCTCAAGCCTATTTAACCAAGGCATCTCCAATGGGATCGGTCTTCGTGTCCAATAAGAATGTGAGAATTCCAGCCGGGTCTTCAATTTTAATTCTTCGAGTTCAGGTGAGCGCGAAATGAGATTAATGTATGCGTCTATATCCCGGATGGATTGGTGTGTTATTTGAATGAAACGTTTATTGTCCCAAATTTTAGAGTCGTCCAATGGTGTTGCCCAGAAGAACGCTACATCCCGGAGATGCGGCACATCCTCTAAGCTACGCAATGTCGATTGTGTCGCGAATGACACGACATCTCTAACAACCTCTGGCATCCCTGTCAATCGCGCCTCCAAATCATCGACATCTTTCCATATCCAGCTGCGTAAGCTCGAAGCACGCAGGGACTTTCGTTGTAAGAGATGTTCCACGTCATCCACGCCTGCAATGACCTCGAAATGAGTCGTCCTATCGAGATGCGAGAATAGGATTCCCAGCGCAACGAGGTTGATGGGCCTTTTCCAGCGCTTTAAGTTCAATTTGATGGTGAGTTCGGTGGGCTTGCTCAGCTGGAGGCTTTTGAGGAGGAGGTTGTAGTTGACGTGCCAAGTTGGGTGTTGGTCGATGATGTTGGCCCATAGGAGAGGGTAACCTGTTGAGACTGCCCTCCATTGTTTTGAAACCAAGGATATACGATGTATAGTTCGTAAATCGGGGATAATCTGATAGAATATTAGGCAGAGCACGTCATCTGGTACGCAAGTTGATACTGGAGGGAAAAATTGGGTATTCATTGATATTGAGATAAGAATGTGGATGACTAGCTCCTAATGCTTCATTCACACTAAAAATAATTTAGGATCAATTTTGAAATAATAAGGCTTTGATACCATTTACCTTGCCTACCTTGGCAAACAAGTGAAAGAAGACGGTTGGAGCTACGTGACAAGCTGATGTGGCGCCGAGAGAGTGGCGCATTCCGCCGGAGAGCTATTTTTGCTCCACCGGCAAGTGAATTTCAATCCAAATTCATAAGGTCGTGGATTAGCAAAAATACACTGCCCCAGAGAGGCTCGAACTCTCGACCTTCCGATTCGCTACTTCACTTTTAAGGGCGACAATAACAGTCGGACGCTATAGCCAACTAAGCCATGGGGCAAACACTATTAAAAAAGCCTCCCGTCAGCTCGGCAGACCGGTTCACCCGGTGCGTGAGTGGTAGGGCGAAGTCGTATACCTCCTGGTACTACGGCTATAATGAATGTAGAGCTCTACTAGAAAAATAAAGAAGTATTGCCTGATCTTCTGAATAATCATATGTTGGACGTCGGTTACTATTAGCAGCACCTGCCATTCAACTACGTAGGCCTTCCCGTAGGACCACGGAGATTCGGCCGTTCTCCTATTATATCACAGTTTCTCGTATGTAGACCTTTGACTATGAAAAGAGCTTGACAAAGACAAATTAATCTAGAGTCATCTTACCGTAGGTGCGCACGCGCGTGAGCTGGGAGGTAAGGCTAGGAATCTCAGCAAATGGCCGGGACAACGCGTTGCTTACGGATTACCAGATAAATATATCTTCCCCCTTATTATTCGATAACATACGATTCCGGGAGGTAACGCCTTGTCATCCACTGACGCGTCCAAACGGCAGTATGACCTCGGAGCCTAAGGGTGGTCCTGATTTGGCAGACCCCGCCACATGTAGTCCGTACGGAGTTGCTGAGTAGTTGCTGGCACATAAACCATCTCTTCCAGGGAGATAACGGCTTTATCGACTAAGCAAGAAGCTATAAGGAGAAACTTTTGGGTGTTCCGTTCAAAGACCGGGAACCAATTATAGAGCCGAGCAACCTGGAGGACTATAATATATTGGTACACGGGTAGTATACAGTCCAATGAAGTGAAAAAGGATGACTAAGAAAAGTCAGTTACGAATGAGTGAAGATATGATAAGTATAGAGTTGCGACAAGTGCTAAGTAGAGCCGAAGATCATTGCAAAAAGAGCTATCAGGATGGCGAAATGAGCGCATGCGGGTTGGCGTCATTGAATGGAGGTGAGTGTTCTGAGGATTCTGATAGTGGGTTATGAGTATCAAATATGAGACGATGGGCGATAAAGAAGACTTACGGTGAGTCTATAAGATCATACTATGGACTGCGAGGTTGGGCAGTCCATGAAAAAGGATCGATCGATATCGAACGACGGCGTTCCCTAAGGAAATGAGAAAGACTTTTTCAGTTTCTCGAAAGTAATTCTGAACCTATTCACGTACCTGTCTTTCTCACAGAGCCATGCCATCCTTGCCATGCAGCTGTCTTTTCCATGAACACCACCTCCCTCTCCTTCCATAGCTTGAAGTTTCTTCTTCCACTTGTCACGAAACTTCTCGCCATATGGAGGACCAGAAGATTCGTGCATGTTAATTAGACATGCTACTCCAAATCCCAACATGAACCAGACGGCAGTTGGCGATCGTAATACATGCTTCATCCGGGAACGCCGGTAATGCTTCACAAGCCAGTATAATGGGGGGTGGAAGGGTGGGGGTTGAGCAGAAGAGGCGGCATGGCGGAATGGGGGTGGTTGGCCAGCGGGCCAGCGAGTTCGATATGGATGGTGGGGCCTTGGACCCATTGCAGATGTGCGATATGGAGACTTGAGAGCTAGTTGGGAGAGAGGAAGAGTCTATACGGCCTCGTACGATGGTATTTATTGAGCCATTATGAAGCACCGACGGCGGGATACTCGGAGGTCTTTGTAAAGCAGTGTTGAAATGGGTATGTATACAGGAAGCCTGTCGGCCAGGCAGAGGTATAAAGCGAGGATGCCGTCCGTAGGAGTACGCAGTGCCAGGTCAAGAGTAAAAGCCCGCCTTTGGATCAGGGTTTCACACCATCTCCCTTGTCTCCGCGGAGATTCGTCAGTTGAAAATGAGGACAGATTAGTGGGTAGACTTCCGTGCCGGCAGCGTGCGTCTCAGCTGCCATCCCTGTTCTGAGCGGCACGGCAACCACCGGCAACCTTTGCTTCCGTCGCCGCGTCATCTCCGAGTAACGCTGAGTCCGACGTCTTTTCTCTTTCTGACATTATTTGACCATGAAGCTGAGGATTTAAATGAGAATATATCAGAAAGTATTATCCCTTATGATAACGTTGGGGTATTTGATCATCTCCTCCTCAACAGCATTGGGAACAAATTCAAGCCACTCCTGTACATGGTTTCTTTTCAATAAGATCTACGTTCATGGTTTCAATTTAAGAATGATTCCATTGAGTTACTATGTAAGCGGATAAGTCATCACATTCAGCTTACAGGTACTGTTGGCACATCTCTGCCGTCCTCGTCACCGCCGTGTACAAGAACTCGGAATCCAGATTCCAAATAACTCCTTCGTCGCATAATCATCCAATCTCAAATCTGCATCCTATCGAAGGATTTGGCCCATCTATTTTCAGTGGATTATCTACGGTCAATTTCTTTCAATATTTGTAATAGTAAGTACCTGGAATTGTTAGCGAGTTCACGTGTTCCTCGGTTTCCATTTCAGAAATACACCTTTCGGTTTCACTAATGTAAGCGGAATAGTCCCTTCAGGATCCAATTCGGACAAGGCATTGGGCTCGATAATGAAGCGCTGAGAGAAGAAACCGTGGAGGCGTTCAGCCAAATTGTTGAGACTTTCCCCAAACCAGGGCTCAACAGATACAAGCTTTTCTTTAGCTAATTGAGTATCTTTTGCCGTTTGTGCTAAGTATGGCTCCCTATCCCAACAGGCAAGCTCGCCAGGCAGAACAAGGCGCATAGTACGCGGAGCCGTATACATGGCCAGGATCCAACGCAGGACATAATAGAATGCTTTGAGATCGTCGAGGTATGCTGGTGGGAGTCCCTCGAATCTTAACACTTTGCGAGACATGAACTTATACGTATCCTATGATAATGTTAAAAATATCAGGGATCATTATAACATAGTGCTTACACTCGCTTCCAGCTCGGATTCGTCATCGATATGGATTGCTAAATCAAACTCTATCAATATACCACGGTCTCCCTCTTCGCCACCATGATTTAGAAGTATATTATTCGGACTGATATCACGATGAAGTATACCCGCGACTTGACGTAGTTGGCGATGCGCTGATGCAAAAAAGTCAGATTGTGGGTAAAGGAAAAATAAAAGGATATATCTTCGACTGCACCGTAAAATGCCAAGCTGAACTCTCTCGGAGAAGAATGGTTTCACCATACGCTTTCATAACCGTGTGAGTATGCACCAGGTCCAACTTGGCTTGCTCCGGCGAAGGTGAGGTGGTCTTTCGATTTGTAAGGTAGTATCACCCTATGAACCGTAGGTCATTAACTCCTCATGATGAACTAGCTGTGCTACCCCCAACTTGATTCCCTGTTCTTGAATGTGACATAAGATGGATCCTTCCCCTTCGGTCTATTATTTATCCAATAATCCTTGATGACATTCCACTGACTGTCGGGGATATCAATCCGTTTAGCAAGCCAGCAAGTTGTTCCACGACCAAAGAATTTGGGGAACCGGAAGATACACTCGTGGATTTGGTAATGGACTTCAGATTGGGTTCGTGGGTTTATCGGCTGCCGTGTAATGATTATAGGTCTAGAATCTTCAACTTAAATCATCGGATCAAACCCAATCTCCCATTCTCTCCTGGTAGAAATACCCCATATACTGGCACATAAACGGTCAGGTTTCTCCTTCCTGGTAATTGAAAGAACGACTTGAAACTCCTCCCGCCCAGTCGAAAAGGTATAAGGTGCAATTTTTCTCGGTGAGAAGAGAATAGATAAGGTGACGGTTGGTTTGCTGCCGCATTATGAATGAAGAATGGGCCGCCAGCCTATTACCAAAGCCAATTTGTAAGTCAGACTCCAGACCCACTTCATTAGATGATAAGCAATTATACGAATAGACAGCTGGCCAGAGTTCACGCGATGAACGAATTCAGGCCCAATGCCTGTCTAATATAAAGGCGGAGAAAGAGGATAACGCGGGTTTCCTTCAATCCACATACCCTTCGTACATTGGATATATCGTCGTTGGAATATATTTCAAATTCGATTTCTGAGTGACAGGGATGATTAGGGGTAAGGAAATCAAACGCAAAGTAAACTCACAGCATCACCACAAAAGAGTATTTGTTGGCTTTACTGCTTTCTATATCTCTCTTCATCCTAGCCTCGATGGGAAACAGTCTATCTACCAGTCCTTTATCTTCCTGCCAGTGGTCCTTCACTTCGACTCTTGTGGCGAACAGATCTTCCTTTGCTTGTTCGAGCCTTGCTATTTCTTTACGAAAACGTTGAATACGCCTTTGGGGCATTGGAGCAGACATGGAAGTAGGAAGGAAGGGAAGCTTATTGGCGATCACCTCAGTATAACCGCATTACCGCCACAAGGGAATAATTGCGTTGCCAACCATAGGCTGTAAGGGGATAGGCTCGTGATGGGTTGGTTGACCGTGTAACTATAATAAGGTGCCCATTCCAGTGTGTATAGCTTTTTTCATTCATTATTCATTCATTCTTTAGCTATTTTGTAACAGTAGTAGCTAGAATTATTCACAAATGTATTTATTACTCGGTTTCCATTTCAGAAATACACTTTTCGATTTCACTGATGTAGGCGGTATAGTCCGTTTCCGGATTCAATTTGAACAGATCTTGACCGATGATATTAAGGCGTTCACAAAAGAAGATACGCAGGCGATCAGCCAAGTTGCCGAGACTTTGTCCAAACCAAGTTTCGATAAGTAAAGTATGGCTTCCAAGGGCAAACTGACCTCCTTTCGACGTTTGCGCCAATCCAGCCGACTCATCCCAAAGAGTAAATTCTTCAAGCAAAACAGGATGGGTGGTATGCAGACCGTCTGCACTCCCAGGATCCAACGCAGAACGTAGTAGAATGATTCCAGATCATCGAGATATGTATGCGTGCCACGAAGAAGCACATTACGAGACATGAACTTGTACGTGCCCTATGGTAATATTAGGATATGGCAGAGGAAGGCAATAAGTAAGGCACTTACCCCTACATATTTTATGGCAAACTCGGAATTCTCTTCGATGCGGGCCGCTGAATCAAAGTCTATCAATATACCACGGTTACCGACTTTACCG